CACACACACACACACACACATATATATATATATATATATATATATAAAGAAATATAGTCTTAAGGTGTCCTATATTTATGGGATAAAGTGCTCAATATCAGAGATAGAGCGTGTGTAAATATAAAAAGTGAACATAGAAGTCAACACTTAGAGGCGACAGTCTGTTTCATGCTATATGCAATCGTCAGGCCACATATGCTGTTATTTTTTTTGGCTATTTATATATATACGGGTTAGTGGTGCATTGTGGGTATTCTATTATGGCGGTTTTTTTTTTGGAAGTCGCTTTGTTTATTTATTTGGGTCAAATTATATTGTTCGTTTTTATTTTTTTTTTTTCTTATTTTATTTATTTATTTATTAACGTAGTAAAAATTTGTTTATATCACGTATTTAACAGTTTAGTTTTGGTTTGAGAATTTAATTAAAGCTATTTGTTCAATTTTGGGGTTGGTTGTTGTAGTTCATTCTAACTATTATTTTTTAGGCGGGAACAGTTTTTAATTTGGGATTGGTTTGTCTATTTACTTGGATGAATTTAGGTCAATTTATTTGTATATTTTCTCTTTTCGGTTTTCAGTTTTTAAGCAACATAGTATTTATTTATAAACACTTCCCAGTAGTATTTATTTATAAACACTTCCCAGAATCAAGCACCTTACACAAGTTATTCAACAAAAACACAGTAAAAATCAGCTACAGCTGCACCGAGAGCATGGCACAAATAATAAAAAAGCACAATAGGAAAATTATCAACAAACCACACGAACAAATTAAACCCACGTGCAACTGCAGAATAAAGAACGAATGTCCCTTAAACGGAAATTGTTTACAAAACAACGTAATATACCAAGCCAATTATAAAATCACCAGATAATGAAGAAAAGGTATACATAGGAGTAACTGAAGGACCCTGGAAGCAAAGAAATTATACACACAAAACATCGTTCACAAATAGTAAATATACGAACAGTACTATGCTTTCTAAGTATATCTGAAATAAAAAACAAAACGCACATCACACCAAAAACATCTTGGAAGATAAGGAAAAGTCATCAGCCTACAACAACCAATCAAAAACTTGCAAACTTTGCTTGGAGGAAAAAATAGCTATCATTACTTTCCCCGACCAAAATAAATTATTAAATAAAAGATTCGAGCTCATCTCAAAATGCAGGCATGAAAATAAATTTTTACTACGTAACCTAAAAAATGAAAAACGGAAAAAATAAAATAAAAACAAACAAATACACTAATAAAAAAAAAAAAAAAATAAAATAAAATAAATAAATAAATAAATAAATACTATGTTGCTTAAAAACTGAAAACCGAAAAGAGAAAATATACAAATAAATTGACCTAAATTCATCCAAGTAAATAGACAAACCAATCCCAAATTAAAAACTGTTGCCGCCCAAAACATAATAGTTAGAATGAACTACAACAACCAACCCCAAAATTGAACAAATAGCTTTAATTAAATTCTCAAACCAAAACTAAACTGTTAAATACGTGATATAAACAAATTTTTACTACGTTAATAAATAAATAAATAAAATAAGAAACAAAAAAATAAAAACGAACAATATAATTTGACCCAAATAAATAAACAAAGCGACTTCCGGTAAAAAAATAACCGCCATAATAGAATACCCACAATGCACCACTAACCCGTATATATATAAATAGCCAAGAAAAATAACAGCATATGTGGCCTGACGATTGCATATAGCATGAAACAGACTGTCGCCTCTAAGTGTTGACTTCTATGTTCACTTTTATATTTATATATATATATATATATATATATATATATATGTGTGTTCATAAAAAAAAATATACATATTCAGTTAAACAAAAGACATCCTTGACAATGGTTAAAAGATTAGCCAAATGCTCTTGGATCCGCAGGTAATTTAGGCAGTTTTAATACATTCTATGTACAGAGAAAAAATCACTTGTATGAATGCAAGAAAAAATTAATAAAAAGCTTAATTGCAATGCCTTGTCAGTCATCTTCAATGAAACCTATGCATATATATGTGTGTGTGTGTGTGTACACACATATAGTGTGTGTGTGTATATTTATATATATATATACTTTGATTAAAATATTTTTTATTTAAAAAAATTAATAATAAAATTGATAATTTTTATTTCCTTATGAATGAATATAGATCAGTGGATAGTCAATACAAGAACTAAGACTCTGACAGAGCATGACTATCGGTGGTCATGAACAGAGCCCCTGTGTGTTCACTCACATCATACCAGCAGGGATAGCCTTGTGTTCACAGGAATAAAAACATGCACAGAAATAACACTAAAATCATGTTAAATTGTAAAGTAAAATCATACAATTTATTTATTTTTGTGTACTGGTGTTTGTGTATTTTTGGTTATAAGTGTTTTAAGGTCACATGTGATAAAAAGAAGTCATTTCATATTATGACAAGCAATGTCCTGAGGAGAGAAGATGGACATCTTCCAACAGTCAGTCGCAAAGAGACTGAATTCAATGTCTTTTGGTGTGATCTTCATTTTCCAGCAGGAAGAAGTTTTTGTTTTTTTTTTGTTTATTTAATTTATTTTAAACAAAGTTTTAATGTTGTTTTATTTTATTTATGGTATTCATTATTTTTTTTATTTTAATTTTTTTTTTAATTAATAATATTAATGTTCTTATACCCCTTTGAGCTAGTTGTGTATCTTTATGAACCAAACCTTCATTATATAGGCCTACATCTTGACTCACTTTTTAAGACAAAAGATGTAAGGAAACTAGAATAATTAATTCTTTCTTTTTATTAATATAAAATATTGTACAACTGTATCCTAATTTATTTTTTGATACATATTTATCTTCATCTTGTTTATAGAACATGATATTCTCAATGGACTGTTAATTTAAATTAAGTACCACTTTTTCGCAGAAAACAGCATAGCGTAATGGAAAAGGCCACAAACTTTATAAAAATAAAGTTTTATTATCAAAATGTTATTTTATTATTAAGATGAAAGTCTTTTTTGATTATTTTAAAAAAATTTTTTAATCCTTTCTAACACATTAAAATTTTGGTTTACATCATCGCGGTAACGTCATAATAACATTGACATTTTTGGCATTTTTTTTCCATTGAAAACACATTGATTTGGAAATGCTTGTAAAAATCAAATAATTGTCCGATATTAATGAAATTTTCAGGACTTATTCACAAATGAATGAAATTATTTTGGAATTTTTTTTTATTTTTTTGTAAATCTTGGTAAAAAAAAAAAAAAATTTTTTTTTTTTTTTACAAATCTCTTCCCCCTCACCTTACTTAATTTCATGAAATTTCGCAAAAAAAACTTTCTAATTCTTGAATTTTTTTTATTTGTTAAAAGTAGAACTCCTTAGAGAATGTAAATTGCCTAATTTTTTTTTTTTCAAACTTGCACTATTCTAACTGAAAATCAAGTCTGAATTGAAAAATAATGAATGCAATAAAACTATGACTAATTAGAAGAGATTTTAATTGCTTTTGTAAATAAGTTATATTAAGGACACTATTATCTGAAGAAATAAAAAAATTTTCCATTGAATAATGAATTTTTACAAGAATTTTTCATTTTTTTTTTTTAGATTTTAATTATAATAATTTACAATAGTTTAAAATTGTGTAAAATTCTGTATTGGGCTATTTCCTGGATGCGATATAGTAATTAAGTGGAAACAAAATTTATGAATTCAAAATTGAAAAGATTAATAAACATAGTTACACTATTCTATTTTTAAAATTATTTTTATCTTTTTACTTAGTTTGTTCCCTTTTTCATTTATGAAAAGCTAAACTTGACATTATTATGAAAAGGTCATGTGATCTAAGAGTTTTGTCTCTTTACAAAGAAATTAATTTAAGAAAATTTTATAGTATTTAAAATTTTTTTTATTTTTGCATAAAGCATCTTCAAAAAGTAAATAAAAGTCAATAAATTATTAGATAATTGCAGAAATTATGTTCATTTTTGAAAAACCAAAAAGATGCATTCACTTAGATTTTGTAAATTTTATGTCAATTCTAGTCAGCCATACTAGCTGTCATCGCTTCGTCACTCAATTGCCCATCAATCATTGCTTTAGATAAACACATCCAATCAATAACCAATGGGTGTATACTTTTTTATACTATAAGTAATATTTATTTAAAATCAGATTAATTTAACTTTAAATTTTATGATTTTACTCAAATAACGTGTCAGAAATATATATGTATATATATATATATATATATATATATATATATATATATATATATATATATATATATATTGAAGAGTATTAAAATCGATAAATTTGTTTGTTTACAAATTTCTTAAAATTAAGAAAATGGCTGCTTTTTAGAAAATTTCAAGAAATCAAAATTAAATTTGACATTCCAATCTATCTATCTGAAATACACCAGAATATTTTATTTACTGGAAATAATTTAATCCTTTAGCTTTCAATTAAAGCTAAAATGAAATCTTCAATAATGCTTTTTCATTTTTAAAAATTCTCTGTAAACCTTAGGTATCAAAAATTTATGCCGAAAAAGTGGAGGTACCTAATTTAAATAAAATAATAAATGCATTAAAATTATCAAGAGGAACAAGAGAGTTATACAATTTAGACATTGATTTTTATTGGAAGTAAAAAATTTTATTTTTATTTAACCTCATTAGGTTGTAATTTCCTTGTTCTTTTTATAGTTTTTACATTTATAGATTTTCATTGCTGTCTGTATTAAGTCAAAACCTATTTTATAAGAAATATTATTTAACTGATAGAATTCTTCTTTTTGACTTGAAATTCACTTGATTTTGTAATGTAACCGGCATTTGCATCAGTATATAATGTTTTTTAAAAAGAGCATTTAATACACAAATTTTCTTGATCTCTCTTAGGAATTACAAAAATGTTTCTTTATTTCTACATTAACTTCACAGATGAAAGATTTTGCTACACTCTCTTTAAACAGGAACTCACCAGGCTAAGGGAAATTAACAAATCAAGAGAAGAAGAAAGATCCTGGGACATTTCTGAAACCAGAGATATTCTGACACAACATAACCAGTTGATGATTCAAGATTTAAAAGACAAAATAACAAAGGTACACATCTTTTTTAATATTGATAATGATTAGAAAGTAAAATGGGGGAAAAAATGATTTTGAATTAAAAATCAACTGCAAGTTTCAGTGACAAATTCCTATTTCATTAAGTCTAAGAAAATTATTCTAAATTCTAAAGTATATATAAGTTGTTATCCAAAAGTTTGAAGAATTTGGATGAACTGATCAGGCTCACAAATTAACCAGTGTTTTTCTTTGTCTCGATAGACATGTTTACGTATTTTTCAAAATCACTCCATCAGGAAATAAAGAACCTCATTTTCTTATATTTAGATGTAACATCAGCCATCATCTTCTTTTTCCTTGAATCTTGGTCTTTTAATATACTGGCATTTTCTCAGTTTCTTTCAATCTGTCACCTCTTGTGTCTTAGTGGCTTTATCACCTTACTTGGGATGAAATGATTAAAAATAAATTTTTGAAAATTTTTTTTATATCTCTGTTTTTTAAATCTGTTAACTGCATTCATGGATGTGCAAGGAGTGTAATGGCGTTATCAGTGAGAAAAATGAAACCAGCAATTCAAGTTCAAGTTCTGTCCTGGTCTGTTGCATTCACTTCCACACTAATGCCCTTGGGAAAGTCATGAATCCATTTCTTCTCTCCAATCTCTGGGATAAATAGCACAGTAAAGTGGACTCTAGACTAAACTAAGAGAAGGACAATTCTGGTTCAAAATCAGCACTACGGCAATAAAAAAAAACATTCCACTATCTTTCCCAAAATGAAGAAAAGAAATTTCTGTTGAGTTATGATTGCCAGAAGAAACACTGAATTAAACAAAATGCATTCATAGATTTTTTTTATATCAAGACATTTAACATGAGAAATAATTTTAAAAAACAATTGTTTTATATTCAATGTATATATGTAAATATAAAATTTGTCACAAACTTGGCATATTTCCTTTATTAAAGATAAGAGTAATATTAGTCATTTCCTTGTAAGGAAATATTTCACGTTCATTGACCAAGCAGCCAGTACTACTGTCAGTTGAAATTTATAAAATCTTTCTTTTAAAACAATTTTTCAGGAAAATAAGTTTCTTAAATCCAGTATTTGTTATTACTTTTTCCAGTACTGATGGGGACTTCCTTCCTAACCTCTTATTTGAAGTAATGTGAACTGTCAACATCTTGATAATGACATTATTTTCTCTTCAAGTTACATGTGATATCCATAGTATTTTTAATTAAGATAAACTCTGTTATTCTGTCTCTAGTTGTGTATACTCCATTTGAATGTTGTACAAAGCCGGAAAATTAAAGAAATTCTATAAAATTACCAAAAAAAAATTAAAATTTTTGTGTGTTTTGTTCTTTGCATATTTTTTTTGTTATTTTTTTTAAATACTTTTTCATTAATTTTCTAAAATGTATTTTTTGTCAAAGGAGATGCATGTGGAAGTCCTTTCTTTAATGCAACGTCTTCACCAGCAAGAGGACGAGTTAGTTTACATAAAGTCTATGTGGAACAAAATGTTGAAGAGCTTACATCTCTTTGAATGTGAAGGAAACAACTCTACAGTGTTTGGTATGGATAAATTGGAGATTTTAATTGCTGGTCTACTAAATGAAGAATCTCATTTGAATATGAACATCCTAGGAGTCAAATATTTGAGCAGGTAATGAACAATATTCTTAATGTGAAAATTCAACTAATGTTATGCCAATAGCTAAAATATTTCAAAGTATATCTTAATATTAACCTTTAGCACTCTTCATTATTCACTAGTGTTACTTCACTTAACCCTGACACTCAACTGCAAGAGTCTCATTCTCAGTTTCACTCAAAATCATTTTTGTTGTTGCCATAGCAGGATATGATAACACAACTGTGAAATTTAAACACATTATCATTTAGTTATCAAAATCACTCACAATGGCAGAGCAAACTTTTTCTTAGTGAACAAAATTACCTACAAATTGCAAGAGGTTAATGTGTAAGAAGTGCTATACCAAAGACAGGGAATTTAAATATTTAGTATATGATTCACACCAGAAAATACCAGAAGTCTGAATTGAATTTAATGTCCATCAGGAACCTTTGATCTAAGAAGAGTTGATTTGTGGTGACCCCAATATGTACTGCATTCACCTTAAGATATAACAAAGTAAGCCTCAGAATATCAAAAGACTTGGGTGCCTCAAGGGTTAACCTGGAAGGCAACCTCAAATAACCAAGTGCAGAATTGGGCCTATTGGTGAGTATACCAGCATAAACAGGAAGTTAATTCAGCTGAATTTAGGATATACACATACAAGACAACTGAATGACAGGAAGTTATATAAATGTTCACCCCACTAGGAGGATGGCAGAATCCCTCACATCTTCAGAAAAAGATCAAATGTTTAAAGAAAAGCCTTCATGAGCAATGTTAATTTGGTGGTGTCCAGAAGTGAATAAACAATTTTTGTATGTATAGAAAATTTAGTTTTGTATTCTTACCAGATGTTATGGCACTACTGAAATTGATTGGTCCAGTTGTAAAATATAAGTAAACATTTTTCAGGAAATAATTTTTGTAGATTAACATTCATTAAACCTTCCTCAAGTCACATTTTCCAGATCAAATATATTGATTTATTTATTTTAGAAGAGATCCTGTTCATAATATAAATATAGTTTCAAATTGATCCTTGACTTCTTAAAGTATTATCTTGTGCTGAACGCGAACAGATGCAAAGGAAGTCACAAGAAAAAGTAAATTTTGCAAGAAAAAGTAAATTTTGTGAACATTTTGTTCAAAATCCTCCTCTATAATTAGGATAGGGTATCTGTACATTCTGTGAACAGTGTTATGCATACAAAAAAAATAAAAGCAAGAAAGACAAATGCATAACATATTTCATTTTACAAAAATTCAAGGTTTTTTCTAAACCACTTATCACTGAATGATAAATGTTGTTCAAGTAAACTTTTCAACAATTTCTTGATTTACTTTTGAGCCAACTCACAAATATCCTTGAATGACCTTTGTACTCATTGAAAATTATTTAAACTACAGAATATTTGATAGTATCTGTTGCAAAATTTTAGGAGCAAAAACAAAAATAACTTAGTGACTACACAATATTAGAATAAACTACAACTTGGTGACACAGACTGAATTAATTCACCATATTAATGTTAATTTTAGACTAAATGTTATATTTTAACACAATTAGCACCCACAGACATTAATGTTTTTTCCATTTTACCTGTTAGGTGCTAAATGAGATTAACATCCCCCTTTTTGAAATTCATGCCTTGCCTTCATTTTGTTCTCTACATGCTGCTATGATTAACACCTGCTTTTCTGTGGTAAAAGCTGGGGGTAGGGTGAAACCAGGTCATGTAGTCCATGATGACTGTTAATGATTAAAAGAGAAACCTGAAAAAAATAATAAAATCAACAAATGATAACATATTTAAAACCTATTTATTTGTAAATTAATTCAGTTCTTCATTTCTTTTTGGGAAATTCATTGATCACCTACTTGTAGAAAGTATTGGCACCACACTTTACCATCATCTTTTTTCAAAAGGAAGCAGCTAACTAAATTTTTTTTTTCTTACTGCTTTTCTTGCTCACTCAGCCTTAACCACTCAACCTTCTTTTACTCAGTTCTTTCACATTCTCTGCACCTGTGTATAAAACTGATACAGAAGTGGTATATTGTAGCATGGGACTTCCTGCTTACACTACTCTACTAATGTCATTTGTTCACAATTTATCCTAAGAAATGGGAGATTTAAGAAATTATAAGTACAAAGAGGATAGTAAAAATCATCAATAATAATTTTTATTATACAAAAATTATTATTATTGTTGTTGTTATTGTTGTCGTCATTATCATCATCATCATTATTATTACCATTATTATTATCATCATTATTATTATTATTATTATGGTAGAAATGCAGTACAATGCATTGAATATATAGGCCATTCACAACTGCTATTTTCCAGCAATGTTATTTAGCCTCTGGGAAATTATCATTATTCTATTCTTGGCCAGTACATGTCAGTGAATTAAATATTGCTACCGAAGACATTAAGAGTTATAAAATTATGATATATTGCACTTAATTCTACTTTATCTTGATTTAGTTAAGAAGAAAAGATGTTTTTATAAAATATTTATATGAACTAAACAGGAACTAAGCCTTTGGTTTAATTCAATAATTGTGTGCTTCTTGCAATTTCTTTTCAGGTTGACAAAGTCTGTTTGTGGAAAAACTGAAACTGGCAAGTACCAGACACCAGTTACTGACAAACCAACATTGGCCCAATATCTTCAGGAACCAATCAAGACAGCCTATGTTTAGTATTTATTCACAATATCTTCATAACAGTATTTCAAATTTATCTCAAGTATTTAATCTTACTGTAAAAGGCTTCATTTTTCTGAATTAACCCATTGGTGCCCACTACCCTAAAAATGGAACGGTGGACATTAATAGTAGAAACCTGCAATTAATACCTATTTTCTTTTCTTTTTTCAAAAACCTGTAATCTTGGATTTTACGACGGATTAGAAATATCAGTATAAGGGTTGCTCCAAAAGTAATGCTCCCTATTTTATTACATTGACCGACAATGTCAGAGGTAGAGGTTGATGTTATGGCAATGGAGGCTGAGCTTTCTTGCCAATAACACATAATTTGTTTTATCTTGTTATAGATAATGGTCTGGAAAAATGGCATTTGACATGAGAGTACAGTCAAAGTGGAGATTTATCACTGAATTTCTCTATGTATATATGAAAGAGACAGTTGATTAATTTGATACAACTTGTTTAAATATTCATTCTTACTGCCTGAATGTACATTATATCTATCTGTCTATCTAGTGAGTTCCTTTTTACTTTTTTTTGTTTTGGATGTGACTAGAATCTTCGTTTGGGGAAATAAAGTGTTTTTTTCTGTTATGCTAGATAATTTTTCATGTTAGAATCAATCTTGAATATTTATAAGTCTACCATTTTTCCATGCATTGAATATTGCCGTTATATATATAGTCTATATATGGGACATTCCTGCTATGTATTTAGAGATTTTTGATAAAATCCAAAGAATCTGTAATCTTATTGATCCTGACCTGGCATCTTGGCTTCAGACATTTTCCCACCATTGCAACGTAGTTTCCCTGTTCATTCTCTATTAATATTTTAATTGTTCTTTTGTGCCGAGACTTTATGTATTTAAGCGCAGTACTAGATTGGCAGCTGAGGCGATTGAAGAAAACAGTAACCAGCGAGTAAATTCAAGCTCTCCCAGCTGGTATTTCAAACTTGAGTCGTTCCTTCTTGAGTTCTGTCTCCAAATCACACTAACTGCCCGTTCTAGCCCGTCAACCGTGAACGTCCCTCAAGAACTCCCGACTCGAAAAAAAAAGTAGTTGTTTTTATAGTTGTTCATGTACCCATAATCCCTTGTGTCTTCATGTGATCCCATAATTCATTGTGTCCATGTCCCATAATGCATTGCATCGTTATTGCATAAAAATGCGATGCCAGTCCCCCCTCATTCTTTTACATTATCTGGCCGAGGATGGATTACAGCAGAGCGGTAAGTGCTTTTTTCTCTCTCTCATTTCAACTGCAGTAGCTTTACATGCTAAGCAAATACGGGCTCTTTTTTGGCAGGGACAAGGCAAGTCACGACCAGTTGTGCTCGTCCCAGGTTCTGTCTCATGTCCTCCACAAAAGTCTCATCATTTTACAGTTGAAATGGCTAGATGTAACTGGCAAATACATGTCAGTGATTATTATTGTTATTATTATTATTATTATTATTATTCTGGGAGAAATCTAAGGCATGCAGTACAATGCATTGAATATATACGCCATTCACAACTGCTACTTTCCAGCAATGTTATTTAGCCTCTGGGAAATTATCATTGTTCTATTCTTGGCCAGTACATGTCAGTGAATTAAATATTGCTACTGAAGACATTAAGAGTTATAAAAATATGATATATTGCACTTAATTCTACTTTATCTTCAGTAGCAATATTTAAATCACTGACATGTACTGGCCAGTTACAGTTTGATTTCAGTAGTTAATTGTTTCTTAATAATTTACAATACAAATAGTATCTTCAAGCACTTTCCAAAGGTGCAGCATGCTAGGATCACCTACCCAGATCATTAATTACAATTAAGATTCAACCAGGTTAGTTGCAGTATAAACCACTATACTAACAGTTTTCTCTTGCACTTCTCACTTGTGGAACTCTTTTCTGGCTTCTTTCTTTCCAATTTTAAATTTAAATGTAATTTCATTATTTATCTCCTGTCTTCTTAATTCCTGTTCTTTTATTGTTCTCTCCCCTTAATAATGTTTTCTTTTTCTCATATTCTCTCACATCCAGTAATCCCTTGCATCTTAATGGCTTTATCGCCTTGCTTGGGATGAAATGATTTTTTTTTAAATTGTCATCATACAGTCTTGGTACCTATGTTCACACTATTATGCATACATAATGGCCAACTACTCTTGTTTTTCAAACACACTTGTCTGGTAGGGTGGCTAGCCAATCCCTGTTGCAGACACTTGCTCAGGAACATTTATGTTTGTTCAACACCCACATAACTCAATTGTGATTTATACTGTAACTATGCTGAACAAATGTTGCTTACAGTTTCTGGGAGAAAGCACATAAGCTGGCATGATCAGCAGTTTGAATAATGATGCCAGTATGCTCAAACCCTCAGTCATAATAACATATTACTTCATGCTAGCACAACCATTTACAGATTTTTTTTTTAAACAGTTGTCTACTCAATTTCACTCACAAAACTTGGGTCAACCCATAGTTTGGTTTTCAAGCACTTTCCAAAGATGCAGCATGCTAGGATCACCTACCCAGATCATTAATTACAATTAAGATTCACCCAGGTCAGTTGCAGTATAAACCACAAGTGTGTTCTGGGGATTGAGCAGGTGTTTGTAATAGGGTTTTGACAAGGCACATTGAAAGACACGAGTGCTCGTAAATGCTCACCATTTCATTTTTATATATATATGAAACAAAGTTCCAACTCACAGTGGGACATCAGTTTTTTTTTTGTTTTTTTGGGGGGGGGCTGTCAACATCCTAAAGTTACATCAATGGAAGATAAAGAGTATCTTTTCACCTCATTGAAACCTGAAACACATAGCCATTTTATTATAAAGTTAAACTTAATTCAAGCTAAACTGTGACCTCCTTTATTCTTTACAATATCTATAATGAGTTAGACTTAAACAAGTTATTACAAAATTAATTTGATTTCAGTAGTTAATTATTTCTTAATAATTTGCAATACAAGCAATGTCTGTTTATTGATGGAATTGAACTGGTAAAAACATAAAATTGTTTCAAGAGTTTAGCTAAAAGATTCATTTCCTCTCATGTGTGACAACAAGTGAGATAATTAGGATTTCAGTAAAATTTAATTTTCAATTTAGACAAGCTGAGTAATGTAGTTGTTTCCCTTGAACACAATACAGAGAAAATTTTAAAGAAATGTGTGCTTTCATATATATTTTAAGTTAAAATAGTTTGACTTAAAAACAGTTGTCTATGTGTGGATGAATTAGAAGAGAGGCAACTCAGATCTCAGTAATATTTTTTCAGTATTTTCTTTTTTAAATATGATTTTTCCTTTTTGAATTATTTAAATTCTCAATATCAAAACATAAATTTCATGCTCAAGTATAGAAAACAATCATTTACTATTCAAAGGTGAAATAATTTAGAGGAAGTTGTTGGTTTCAAGAATAGGCAGATCCAGAATGATTTATCTGCTTGAAATTTGAATAAAATTTCTGGCTTTCTTTTACATTCAATAATATTGTGCATGTATAAAAGTTAATAACTGAACCATTTAAATTCTTGTTTGCTACAGCTTGTTAATGCTATTATTTCCTTCTGTTACAGAACAGACTTCATTCAACCAGTCAGCAACTGAGAGATTTGGTAAAGTCATTATCTAAACATGATTCCCATAATCCTTCATTTGAACTCTACCCAGCTCCACAAGCAGACTCGGTAAGAAGATTACCTCTTTTGACTTTATGATTAGGTTGTTTGAAACTTACAAATCTCCTCCTGGTTAGTAGATTATAGGGCCATAGCTTCACTATACTAGGTGTTGTTGTAGTTTCTCTAACAAGTAGGTTTTTATGCGATAAGGTTGCCAGCCCCAGACCCAGTTGGTTTTAAAAGCCTAGTCTGCCCTGTTATTTAAGCCATAGCTGGGGGAGACAAATAAGAAATATTCCAATTTTTTCAGACCATTTAACTGTGTTCTTATAACAAAGGTGACCTATTCTTCAGTATTCATCAGATGTATATTACATAAAAAAAAAGAGGAAAGAACATTTCTCCAGAAAATGGCAAGAGAAAAATAGTAATATTTCAATTTGATCAGTTCAGCAATTAAACTATTACCATGTAGCTGGCAGATTTCAATCTATACATAAGGGAGTTGCCTAATAGTTTCTTTACTAACCAAAGAAAGCCACACAGTGCTGAAATCTATACTAGCCTGACCCTGTACCTGGCTGACAAGCCAATATACGCAGTACCTTTCAATTTTTTCACACTCCAGCAGTGCTTGCAGTATACTTCCTTCTAGAAAGGGTAATGTGCACCTCTGAGGGTATCTCAAAAAATGTATACACACTTTGAAGCTTTCTCAAGAAATAATTCAAGTGACTAAAACAAACTCTATCTAATTTAAATAATGCATATGAAGACAGTAATTATTGTAACTGCATGCTCTTACAATTTTGCCAATGCATGTTTTCAAATTGATGTTCATTATGTTCTAGACATTGCTCACAATTTGACACAATCAACATTTCAATAGGTTTCTAGAACTTCTGTGAATACTTTCTATTACCCTTTCTTGCTTTACGGGGTGTGGTTGATATCCGTGGTTTTCTCGAGTGGTTCTTGTATACATTATGTACAGTACCATCAGACTTCTCTCTAATTTGTGAGATTGTAAGCTGCATGGGAGGGGGATCTTAATGAAACTCTCTTTGATACACAGGATGAAAATTCTTTATTCAAAGCTAAGCTGGGATGGCATTATTAATACTAAAATGTAAATCTGAAAAGAAAGCAAGTTGACTTGAGCTATACACTGTAAAAATGTGTATACATTTTTTTTATACACCCTGTATATAGTCTACCATACCAGATTTATTTTATTTCTTTGCATTCGATTTATATTTTTAAAATCTAACAACTGGTTTTCCTTTTATATATTTTTAAATATTTGCATAGAATGTTTAGTCAATCTTTAGTCAAACCTTTCTCCCAGAAGAGACCAACTCTAGTAAAGACACTGCAAAGGATTTGTTTTATGAGTGAAGAACAATCAGGTGCTATAAGTTATAGGCATATAACAAATATGTTTTTGTTTTTAAAATGTTATGCCCCTTCAGGAAATAGATGATCATAACTTTGTAAAGTTCCTTTAATTTAATATCTGTTTTTTGCTATGACTTGAAACTGAACGCCTTAGACTTAATTTAATACAGATATTTAAAATAGCAAATCCACTTGATGACAGAGGTTTCAAGAAATATTTGGTATTACTTTAGCCTGCAGTCTACTGCAGTTTCCATAGCCTGCACTGTGAAATGACCTTTAGCATACAATCTACACGTCATTGTTTGAATTTATTACCTGTGTTTAACATTTTTGACCTGAGTGCTCCTGACCGGTCAATATAAAATGACCTTTCATGTGTTTCCCTTATTTTTACCCTTTTAACCTGAGTTCTAACACCAATACCCTTTTAACCTGAGTTCTAAACACCCTGTAACACCAATAAATTCCATCATAATTTAATTATGATGATTCTGATTTGTATGATTAAGTGTATGCCATTAATGATAAATCATTATTTAACATTATGGCAAGGTGTTGAGGTTGCTGGCCTGTTCTATGGAATGGCCTTGCACATGTTGATGGATTAGTGTTACAGTGGTGGGTCAAGTGGGTTACATGCTTCCAGAGTCAGAGTCGCTTTTTTTGTGGAATCGGAGTCACTTGGTTGCAAAGTCAGTAGACTTGTTCTGTGGAACAGGGCCGTGGTAATGGCTTGTACATGTTGATTATGCTAAGGTAACAGCAGTGGTTTACCTAGGAGCTGTCCCGCAGTGGCTAATGAAGCTACAAATCTGTCTATGATGATACAAGATGTGAGCATGAGTAATCAAGAGAAGTCACAAATCTGACTTTTCCAATGCAGAGGATGCAAGGGTTATAAGTCAGGAGAATTCAAGAACCTGACTTTGCCGATGCTGGTTATGCCAAGGAGAAGGCAGTGGGTTGCTGAGGTGTTTTCATACTGAAGCCGGACAGCCAAGGTGGCCAGTCAAGCTTGGGAGCAGCAACTGTCTTTGAGAAGAACAGTTTAGAGGCATGGCGGTGACAACAGCAGCCAGCTGGTGGCCCACCAGGCTGCAACTATCTTGATTGTTCTCTTTCAAGCAAATCTGGTACACCCCAGGGGCTTCTCTTTCTCTGGCGGAAACATTCATGATTGGAAAGTGTTGCTTTCATTGGCAGAGCTTGCTTATAGACAGGATGTGATGTGTAGAGCCTATGCACAGAAAACGACTTTTTTTATTTTGTTCCCTGCCTTCATAGCATTCACATTTGGCCAGCATGCGGAATGGATCAGCTAGAGATATAATTGCAATGGAGTATAACAAAGTGCAGGTAGACTACATGCTAAACTGTTAATGACCTGGTATACCACATGTTAAAATAGCACCAAATATTTCATTAAAAGCCAGTATAAATCTACCAGAGGACAAATTCAACCACTGCTCTAACATCTAGACATACAAAATTATTCTTTTTTACAGTGACTGGAACACTCTCCTTCTTTCAGTAGTAATGCCAAGACTTTACATGCCTTCAAAAAGGAGATTCAAATACATTTTGATTATATCATTATATGGTAACTGTACTTGTGTAAAATGTACCTTTTCCATTGTCTTAATTCAATGTTTTGATTATTCCTGTTTTCTGCATGCTGCTGGTGCTTTTTCTTATATCCTTTTACCACTCGTTTGTTTGCCCATTTTGGCTGAATGGCTACTGTGTAGTATCTTATAATAAACAAATAAATTAGTATCTAATAATAGATAAATAAATTAGTAACCAATAATAGATAAATATAATTAGTATCTAATAATAGATAAATAAGAATAGATAAGTAAATTCATATCTAATAATAGATAAATAAATTAGAATAAATAAATAAATTTGTATCTAAGAATAAATAAATAATTTAGTGTCTAATAATAAATAAATAAATTAGTATCTAATAATAGATAAATAAATTTGTACCTAATAATAGATAAATATAATTAGTATCTAATAATAGATAAATAAGAATAGATAAGTAAATTCATATCTAATAATAGATAAATAAATTAGAATAAATAAATAAATTTGTATCTAAGAATAAATAAATAATTTAGTGTCTAATAATAAATAAATAAATTAGTATCTAATAATAGATAAATAAATTTGTACCTAATAATAGATAAATATAATTAGTATCTAATAATAGATAAATAAGAATAGATAAGTAAATTCATATCTAATAATAGATAAATAAATTAGAATAAATAAATAAATTTGTATCTAAGAATAAATAAATAATTTAGTGTCTAATAATAAATAAATAAATTAGTATCTAATAATAGATAAATAAATTTGTACCTAATAATAGATAAATATAATTAGTATCTAATAATAGATAAATAAGAATAGATAAATAAATTCATATCTAATAATAGATAAATAAATTAGAATAAATAAATAAATTTGTATCTAAGAATAAATAAATAATTTAGTGTCTAATAATAAATAAATGAAAAATAATAGATAAATAAATTAGAATAAATAAATAAATTAGTATCTAATAATAAATATCTTATTGACAGTTTTCAAATATAAATAATGAAAGAATCAAACTTCAACTAAATAATTATATTTACTAATGGGCCCATGAAAAATGTCTGATGCTAAGTTGTATGCAATTCTTTTGAATTCCCATTACTTTAGATTCATTGTGAATTTCCTGTGGAAACTGTAAACAGAGAGAAAAACATGTTTCGACCCTTCATTGGGATTACATCCACTTCTTCAGCCGAATGCTCAGCAAATGATGAAGAATCACAGAGGATGATTATGCTAGAATGTGATTTGAATCATCAGGCCAAAGTAAGTATTTCTTGTTAAATATTGTCAGTAAAAGTCTTAATGCATTATCAACAAGAATTCAAAATATAGATTTGCTAAATGAAAATTAATCTACATTATTTACATTCAGACTAATGCATCCTTATGATGTTTCAGTCATTATACCCTCTGGTTTTCTTCAGGTGTCTGTTGAACCAGGCAACCTTCAGGGAATTTCAAACTTAACCCTTTATTTAATATATGTGGCTAGATCATTATATTCTGCTCTTCATGCTTAGAGATATCTCATCATCTTTTTTTTTAATACATGGATGTGTGGGTAGCGAAAGTAATAGCAGCTTGGCCTGGGAAATTGGAGATCTGTGTTCAAATTTCAATAGACTTTGTTACATTCACTTATGCACAAATAACATTGGAATGGTATGAATCCATCTTCTCCCTCTAGTTATGGGTTAAATAATAGGAGTTGCATCTGGAAAAATCATTGTTATTCTCAAAAAAAATGTTAATGAAATATTTACTCAAAAAAAAAAAGAACAAGAATAATTTTCACAATCCAAAATATGTTTCAACTTTAAATAACCTTCAAAGAGTTGATAAACCATAAAATACAGAATCACTCAATTTTTCAGTACTTCTCAGTTATTGCTCATGCAATTTTTAAGTTTGTACTACCCAGCCCAGGGATTGAACTCAGAATTACTATATCATGAAATTCATGAAGCAATGTTTTAATTCACTAGACTATTGTTCTGTAGATTTAAGCAACGGTTTTAATTTAAAATTCCTTGAAGGTTATCTGGATTGAAGACCAGATGGTATAATGGTCAAAATAAAGATTAGGACATTAGACCAACTGTAAGTAATGATAACTCCTCATATTAGAAATTCAAACTGAAAATTAACCTGGAATCAGCATGTTATGGGGGGTGGGGGGGTTGGAATGGTCTGCATATGAATGCTGGGAATGTGATATCAAAATTGTCCAAAAATGTTATGTTAAGAAGATATGGAACTAAGAAAGGCAGAATGTTTTTTGTTTTTCTACTTTACATATCTCAGTTGATTTTTTGAAACTCTTTAATTTAAACTTGTTTTTTTCTGATTGCAATGGTTTCCTCATTTCTACTAGAAAAAGAAGGTATGTAAAATAATTAAATAAATCTTTATCACTTAATTCTAAAATTGATAACTTGAATTATGTTTCATCATCAAGAAAACATATACAGTTTTGTCAATATCCATATATACATGGCTAGTTGCAGGCTATCTTTAATACAAAATTCTTTAATACAAAATTCAAGATCACCATTGTCTTTATATTAATGTTATATGACTTTTGAGAATTCCACTGTATAAATTGAAGTAATGGAGGTGTTTGTTGTTTAGCAGTTATCAGCTTGGAATGTGGAATTTCTATGTTGAGTTCATTGCATGCACTCTTGCACAAGTGACCTTGGGAAAGGTATGAATTCATCTCTTCCATCAAGCTATGGGTTAAATAGCATGGAAGACTGAGCTCTCTAGATTTGGTTGGCCAATAGTATAGGAGAAAGACAACTCTGAATTCAAAACTGAATGGGTGTGAAGCTGACAACCCCACTCTGTAAAAACCTACTTATTAGAGAAACCTTATATGGTGAGGCTGTGGCCCTATTTTCCATAAATGAGAATGGCTCTAAGAAGAAAAATGAAGTAAATTATTACTTTGTGATCAATTTCTAAAACACAGTTTAGGAACAGAACAGATGATACTATATTTGATACTTCACACATATAAAAACACCCTATTATTTAAGTAAGGTGTATTAAGAAAATATGTGTATAAGCATTTAAGCTCAGCAATCAAAGATATGGTGGGGATATTTTGAACCATTTTTTAATTAGTTCTTTTAATAATACAAAAGAAAATAATTATATTTACCATTATATATTGATTCTTTAGGGTAAGTTTCTTTATTTTTGCTGTCTTTACTACATTTCAGTTGCTATACCTAATAGCCTTCCTCAGGTGTTCATCAGAAATTAAACTCAGGCCTTCAAACTTTTTGTCAGATAATGCAAAATTATATATTGTCTCACTGGGGAGACAGATTGAAATCTTAAGGAAAATTTGATATGTTCTGAAATTCCCTAGCAAGAACAGTACAGTTAATCATGCCTTTTATTATGAACAAAATTATTTATAGAAAATCATTTTGCTAAATCTTTCTTCTTTTGCTTTATTAAAAGGTATTTTCAAAACATTTTTGTTTTCATGAAAATATGGAACATTTTAAAATGAAAGTTCCTCTTGAACTTTTCTATAAATGAACTCTTACAAAAAAAAGTAGACTAGATTTCTGTCTTCACAGGGGAAAAAAAAGATACCTAATGAATTTATTATTACCTGTGCAAAGTGGAATGTTGATGCAACATTTATCTTTATTTCTCTGTATCACTTCAAAATATACAAAAAACATGACACAAGTTATTAAGAATAGTCACTGTGCTAGTCGTGTTCAATTCCTCAGTTAATGAAAATATTAAACTAAACTAATGGAGAAGTAAATTAGCATCATAAGAAAGACTTGATGATAAACAGTTGTGAAATTCCCTAGAGATGACACTATAAAATATACTGATGAAAATAGGTGAAAATGTCCATTTCAGTGGGCGATTATAAGAATGGCGGTCATGGTTAAAAGACGGGAGTTGACCTATTTCTTGTGCTGGCCTGGCCGAGGTTACAGGATATGGTCAGTGCACATGTTGGTTGATCAAGGTCATGGTGGTGGAACCATCTTTTTGGATGGTGGGCCTGTTCTATAGAAACATTTATAATTAAAAAAATAAAGAAATCACAAATCTGAAAATATGAAGGGAATGAGGATGGTTCAATCCCTGTGTACATGGCTGGTCTTAGTAATAAATGTCTAAATTGGAACTAAGGAATGTAGCTCATCAGAACATTTTCCATGGAAATAGTAACAGATTAATGAGAGGCTTGTAATTTTTTTTTCTTTTTCTTTGGGAACAGGGTTGTAAGGTGGAAAATAATTTATCACTTACAAAGCTATATAAATTCTGTAAACATACAAAATGTGAACATTTCTTTTGCTCACTGCTTTATATGACTCTCCAGTATCTGTCTGTCAGGTTCTTGCTTTTAAACAACCAAAATTCATAGAGGAATTTATAAATAATAAACTATCCTGGAAAAATTACATTATCATTTTAAAATTTTTAGCACTTGATATAAATTTTTGGATAAATTAATTTTTAAATTAATTTATCCAAAAATTTATATTTTGATTTGCATAAATTAAAATGCTGATATTTATATATATTTTTAGATTCTGGACAAAGGCAGTCATAACTCTCCACAGATTCCTTTTCTTTATATGTAAATTCCATGCATTCTTAGAAAAAATAGTGAAATACTTTCTCTATTTCCTTTGCCACCATTTAGAAATCAAAGTTTTCTTTCTCTTAAACTGGTTGCCATCCAGTCTACCCTGCAATTTAACCTCTAGCTAGAGGGAGAAGAGATGGATCTAAAGGGCATCAGTGTGAAAGTGGATGCAACAGTTTAGGCTGGAACTTGAATTTGGCTTAACAATTCCACTTTCCATTCATCCAATATTTATCCCAGTTATTTATATCAGATTTTTTTTAAAAGAATCAAAACTGGATGAGATGTTTGTTATCTTATCAGCTGAATTTATTTGTTTTCTTTTTAATATTTGTTGCTTAGCAACTTGTAAGCTGATTTTATGTTTTATGTTATTTTTTAATTTTTTTTTCCTGCAGGTTCTGTTGGAATTGATGCGTTCTTATAATGGTTTACAAGAAGCTCTGGTTGCATCTCAGTCATCACTTCATCCTCAGAAAGGAATATGTCGAAACAGCACAGCTGAATAAAAAAAAGACTTTTTTTTTTTCAACATTTAAATTCAAATAACAACATTTAAATAATTAGAATAAAGTATCATTGATATAATTCAATATTCTTATATCATACTTTCAGTGATATTCTTATATCATACTAAGAGAGAAACAGTTTCTCATTTTATATATTTACATTTCTCATATTATTTTTGCCTTAATCATACTTATTATAAAACCCAGGTTGTGTGTGTGTGTGTCTGTTCGTTTATATATTGGATCGGATTTCCTACATTTTTCAACCGATTTCAACAAAACTTCACAGGACTACATAAAATTACCTTGCAGTGATTCTGACAGTGCCCAAAATTGGAAAAACACAATTGTTTTTGTACAAAATCAATTTGAAAACACGATTAAGAGGCATCGCTGATGCAGAATGAAAGGGGGACATCTCATATCGAGTTATACTTATTATAAAACCCAGGTTGGTTGTGTGTGTGTTCATTTAAATATGGGATCGGATTTCCTACATTTTTCAACCAATTTCAACAAAACTTCACTTTTTTTTTGGCAGGTAGTGTTTCTTATTGTCTTGCACACTTTTTTCTTTATTTTTACATTCAGAATGCTTCAAAAATTCCATTTACAAGACAATTGTTTATAATAAAATTCTATTCAATCGGTAGATTCATAACAATTGAAAACAATGTTTTTTTTTTGGAGTTTGGGTTTGACCAATTCGTAAATGAAAAAAAAAAATACTAATTAAGACATGCGTGTCCGTCAACCTTAAACAATAATCTTTGTCAGCTTTATTTTTCAGTCTTTATGATGGTCGAAACTTGATCTATCTCTTACTGTTACATCCCTGGGCAACGCAGGACTCTACTGCTAGATTTTTATAAGAGGAATTATCATTATTATACACAAATTTACTGGACGTGGACGTTTCTCATTCTGGTTGTTACTATCATAACATTTCAGCTGCTGTATCATTCAGCCTTCTGAGAATTTCAAACCAAACATTATTCAATCTATGGGGATAGATTGTTATCAGTCTACTGTCCATACTAGAGGTTATTTTGAATCCAAATCAGTTAATCCTTCATAGTTAATTTTTCCTTGTGAGGATAATTTTCTACCTCTTCCACTGAATCAAAGTATATCAAATTTGGAAATGCAAAATATCATATACTCTGATTCAGTGAAAGAAGCAACATCACAAGGATAAATTAACTAGCTAGAATTAACTGTTTCGAGTTATCTCCCCTGGAATTAGCAATGGAATGCGAACAATCTTTCAGTAAGACTGATTGAGCAGATTGTAAAAAAGGATTTGGTAAAAAAATTTAAGAACATTACAGACTACAAGAGACACCTAAAGAAGGCTGAAGGAAACAACACCAAATCATTGTGATGTTTAAATCAGCCAAATTGTCACAAATACTTAAAGTGAGTATTATTAAATTTTAATAATAAAAAAAGGCATAGAGTTAAAAAAAGAAAAAAAAAGTATGAACATAAAACCACCAAAAAGTTAAAATAATGAATAAAACTTATTGTTAATTCATAATATAAATATAATGCCTATGTTCAAAAATAAAATAGTTAAAAAATATTAGCAAAACCCTTAAAGGGGTAAATGTTTTGCTAATAATGTATTAAATAAATAACCTTATTTGAATTTCTTAATTTAAGCAATGCTGAGAATACATTGACAGTATCATCTGCAGAAGGATAAAATCTCAACACTATAAATAACCAATATTTTCCTTATCCCCAAACCAATTAAGTACATGTCTATAGAATTTTAAAAAAATGATTTTGGAGTTGAATAGTTTAAAAGGGTTGAAATGTTATAACATCAACCAACTCAACTCAATCCTCAAAAAATGAAGTATCATTATTAATATGTTAATTCTTGAGTCTTGAGTAGTCATCTTTTTATTGCTATGTTCAGGGTTTTTTTGTTTAAATAAAATATATTCATCAAAAGATAATGATAATGCATTTTTGGAGCTTTTATTCAAGGATAACAAAAGTGTATTTTTAAAAATAAAAAGAGGGTAAGAATAAATTGAAGAAGAATGAATAAAACAGGAGAAACTACAATAATTGCATATTAGTATGCTAGATGTTACTGCTACTTAAAGTTTTAGTCATTAATTTTTGGTTTCAAAATGAAAAACTTAGATTCCCTAAATATATAAGAGTTTCTCTCTAAACTTGTACTGGAAGAAAAATATGTTCTTTTAAGAAAAATGTCCTGTTCAAATTTTATACAATTCAAAAAAGAAGCAGCCATTTTTTCCTGATCCATTCTACTTACTGGTTGTAGAATTTAGAGCATGATGATAAAAAGCTACAAAGATAAGAAAATGAACAAGTAGACAAGAATTAATAAATCTATTTAAAAAGAACAGAAAAATGACTGTTTCTTATAAAAATAGAAAATAATTAAAATTAAATGGCTAGAAGTAAAGTCAGTTGCAACACTTTCAAAAATCACAAAAAACATTTTATTACAATGAAAATATTCAAATATATTTAAATACAAGAAAACTTCTAATCATTTTATAAGGTATATTTGTATTTTAAGAAGAATTTTGTACATTTGGGAAGATAATTTTCTATGTTCTAAATTAAGCATAAAATATCTACTTTAACAGAAACAAGACTCGCTATTTTGTCTTTCTTATTTTTTTCATTTGTTGAGTCAGACATTGTTAATGGAGATCTTACTTGTCTACCCATTAATGCAGATGGGCATTGCAATCCGTCTTCATGTCGAATCATCCTATAATTAAGCAGTAACCTTGAGAAGTAACCATAAGTAATCTCTACTTGGGAAAAATGCTTTTAATCCCATTTTCAGTACCTACACCAGGGATTCTCAACCTTTTTCATCCTATTGCCCCTTTTTTACTATTTTTCAATGTAATTGCCCATGCCCATTTGTAAAAATATAAATTAAAATATTTACATTGCTTTTTAATATGATCCACAATGCTTTGCTGCTAGAAAATTAATATTTGGTTTGGAATTTTTAAGTTTTAGTTTTATGTCTCCTCAAGTACATATATCAATTTTATTTCTTTCTTTGGTCAAGATTTTATTGATTGCACTGAATCCACATTCAACCAAATAAGAGGTTGGAAAGCATATCAGTATTTTAGCCATTTCAGATCACATGTTGGATATAGCTGTTTTTTGACAGTCATAATTCCGTTATTCTGCCACTTTCAAATTTGTACTTGCATTAGGCACAGTGGAGTAATGGATAGCAGCTCGGATTGAGGAATCAGAGAGCCGAGTTCAAATTACAGTCGAATCCATTACATTCACTTATGTGCTAATACCCTTGGGAAAAGTATTAATCCTCTTCTTCTCCCCCCAGCTATAGGTAAATAGCAGGACGGACCGAGTTCTATAGCCTTGGATAGCAACCTACTGCAGGAAAAAATCTGCCTTGTTAGTCATGTATTGAAAGATATGATTGCCTAAGCATGTATCACACATGGCACATAATTGACTGACTTGCATTCATCATTGTGTTTCAATTCAATAAGTTCTTCCTGCATATTTTCACTGACAGCTTCTATGTCACAACACAGATGGACCTCTAATGAAAATAAACCTGAAGATTGGCTACTTCTCCCGATGTCACTAAATATTCTGCATACTTTTTACTAGTTTGTTCTGAGAGGTGTTCACTTCTGTTAACTCAGACATGTTATTGAAATTCTTTTGTATATTAACCTGAAATAAGTCTAGTTTTTCAGAAAATGGTTTCAGAACACGTTTACAATCTAACAATGTGCATAATTTACCTTGAATCTGGAGTAAAACTTCATTGAACTTTTGAAAAATTCATGCTAAAAAGTAAATATCACATTTGTGATGCCTGATTTCCTCTGCCAAACATTTCTCATCCATATTTTTTTTTTAAGCATTTCACCCCTAGCAAGGCGGGAAGCCACTAGCATGCAAGGGGTTACAGAGGATTTGGAGCGAGAGCAGGTAGGAATGATAGAGGAAAGGATGAGGAGAAGGATAGTTGATAGATCAAGGCAACTAGAGATGTCAATTGACATTACATTTGAATAGTTGGAGATTATAGCTATCAGGGAAACAGGAATAGGGAAGGGAGTTCAACAGGTGAGAGGTGTGAGATATGAAGCTACTGGAGTAGAAAAGGCGGCTACATTTAACAGTGAAAGCCAGCCTCGTAGGACGCTTGAATTTGCAAAGTCTGGGAACCAGCGAAAGCAGCTCATCGGAGCAATTACCATGAAAGTATTTGTAAAAAAGACAGAGGCGACGGCATGTCTGTGAGAGAGCGACTGCAGGCAAGATGCCAGATCAGGGCCAATTATATTGCATATCCGTCTCTGGATCTTATCAAGAATCCCAAGGCAAATAGAAGGTGTTCCAGACCATATATGACAGCAATACTCCATGCAAGGGCGAATGGTTGATTTGTAGATTTGAAGGATCGATTTCGGGGAGAAAATATATTTTCCAAGAAATTAACTATTGTACCAAATAGGTTTACAAATCTGGCCAGGCAGTTTTCTTTTGAAAATCAATGGATTTCTGTATTGATAATAAGTGTTATATGCTATTCTTCAGTATCATTACAAAATTTTCGATAAATTCTTATATTTGCTGTGAGATTTTATTTTATTGACTTTTAATAACTACTGTCAATCAGGGCTAATATTTTTGGTAAATAAATGATGATGTGCCATACAATGCACAGCAAAAAAAGAAGACATATTTTTTTAAATGCACAATAAATTGCCTATGCTTACCAAACATGGATGGAGCACCATCCATTGGACAGGATACCAAGTTTTCAAAGGGTACTTTATTTTTGTTCAACCAAGATTTTGCAGCTTCAAAAACTAATAATCCTGTAGTATCAATTTCTAAAAGTTTCACAGACAACAACTCTTCACACAGTTTGTAGTAATCATCTATATAACAAACATATGCCATAAAAAAGCCCTATTATTGCTTGTCATAGATTC